GGATCTAGTTTCTGAATTCTGACATAAAACCAGAGAGCTGATTTCCTTGTATTTTCTCTCTCTAGATGTCACCATGGCAAAATCAGCAAAACTTATTCAACAGCAGCTGGAGAAAGAGCTGTAAGTATGAAACTGGATCTGAAACCCCCCTGACCTTTTCTGTTCTCCTTTCTGTCTCTTGCTTCAGGGCTCAGTCAGCTTCCTTGAGCCACATCTAAGTTCACTGAAGGAAAATATCAGTCTGTTTTGTCTGTGTAGGTGTGATCAGGATGAGAGAAGATTGCTTTCCTATCCTCTCCTAAGAGCAGCCATCCCTAGGCTAGGTGCCTCCAGAGCCGTGTGCTCCCTCAGGTACAGGGCTCCTAAGAGCAGCCATCCCTAGGCTAGGTGATACCTCCAGAGCCGTGTGCTCCCTCAGGTACAGGCAGGGTTGGCTTCCAGATGTCAGACTTTCTGTGAGTGGTGTGAAAAGCATAGTAGCTCTGCTGGATTGTCCTGGTCTGGTTTGCAAAGCTGGAGAGCAGGTCAAGGTTTGCTAACAGGTTCTTGCACAGCAAGGGAGGACATTCACCTGGGAAGACAAATGATGGATGATCTCTTGTTCATGTTGAGTTGTAGGAGGAAGTGGAAGGAGGAGAACGTGGCTGTCAGACTGTGCTACCTTGTGAGGTGGCAGCTTTACAAGATCTCTGGGGAGACCTTAGAGCACCTTCCAGTGCCTGGAGGGGCTCCAGGAAAGCTGGGGAGGGACTTGGGACAAGGGCAGGGAGGGAGAGGACAAGGGGGAAGGGATGAAAACTGGAAGAGGGGAGATTGAGGTGAGACATGAGGAGGAAATTCTTGAGTGTGAGGGTGGTGAGAGCCTGGCCCAGGTTGCCCAGGGAAGCTGTGGCTGCCCCATCCCTGGCAGTGTTGAAGGGCAGGTTGGATGGGGCTTGGAGCAACTTGGGCTGGTGGGAGGTGTCCCTGCCCATGCAGGGGGTTGGAACTGGATGATCTTGAAGGTCCCTTCCAACCCAAACCAGTTGGGGACAGGCAGAAGATTATTTTTTAAGCTACATTTAGTCTTTGTCCATGAATGTTCTGCCTGTGGGAATAATTGCAGTTGAATCAAATCTGCCCAGGGAGGAGACCTCTGTGCAGCTCGTGCTGTGGTGGCCTTCTCCACCATTTTGCTTCCCCACACTCACTGGGCTGGATGTTTTGCCCCCTGTGGGTCCCCTTTGCTGGGTTGCAGTTGGTGACTTGACAAGGTGCTCCTGTGGGTGGCAGGGGGAGTGTAGCTCTTTGCTCTCCAGACATGGCATGTGGCCATCTTGTTGCCAAGTGTTGGACTTGGCAGGAGGTTCATGGTTGGACTTGATGGTCTGAATGACCTTCTCCAACCCACGTGATGCCATGGGTCTCTAGGCAGTCTGCCAGATTCTCAAGCTTTCTAGGAAAACTGGCATTCCCTGGTTCAGGAGTTGGGTTTCTAGGTAGGTTCTACCTGCCCTGTTGGGCAGTGGTATTCCTGCAGGTTGGCAGGTTGCTGCCATCCTCTCCCTGTGCTTGGATGTCCTTGTGTGGAGAACCCTAGGAAGTATCTGCTCTCTTATTCCTTAACTCCCACTTCTGGGCAGTGTTGTTCCTTTTCCTGTGCCCCTTTCATTTAGTTCCCTCCTGTGAAGAAAGTGTAGCTGGAGCTGACTGAGAGCAGGTCCTGCCAGGCTCCTCTGTCTCTGGAAAATGCAGCTGTCCAGCTGTGAGACAGAGACCTGGGGGGAGGTTGCTGTTTGTTTCCGTGCCTGGAGCAACCCCTGGGCTTCCCCCTCTTTGCTTTTTGGGACCTCAGAGGCAGTCAGTGCCTTCTTCATCTCTTGGACTTCTCCATCTCCCTCTGCTGCCTGTGCCTTGGATGCCTGAGGAGTGTGGACAAGCAGGTCCATCCTTCCTCCCCACATTTGGCAGGGAGTTGAGGTGCAGCAGGAGTGACACTGCAGCCTGGTCCTTGGGCAGGCATTGACCACTGGAGCAGTGGGGAGACTCCATCCCCCTCCCAGTCCCACAGGGATTTGTCACACTCCAGTGCCAGTGGGATGAACCCCTGCATGATCCCTGCTATCGTGATGCCTCTCTCTTCCCAGTTAACCCCTGAAACTAGTGCAGATCCTGATGTCTGGGATAAACTGTGCAATTTCTGGGGACTGGTGCCGGGAGGAATTCAGGTGAGGACATCACCTCCTGACTCTTGCTGTTATTGATCCACAGAAAACCTGTTCAACCACTGTCTCCTCTTGTCTGCCACGCTCCCTTGAGCCACTCTGCTCTTGTGCCTTCCAGTGGGTATTTAAGAGAAGTAGCCAAAGTAGCTCTGCCTGTGTAGAGCTGTGGGACCTTGGTGTGTCCTGCTGATGGAGCTGGGCCCAAAACATCTCAGCAGCTCTGGTGTAGGTGATGTTCCCCTGGCTCACAGTTCCTGACCCTTTCCCTTCTCTCTCCACAGCAACACCTTACGAGTGACCCGCTCTGCAGCCCCCACCAGTCTGGATGGCTCAGCCACTGGGATCCCTGCCCACCTGGGGAAGAAGGGCAAAGACTTTGACTTCTCTCAGTTGCCCATGAAGGTGGAATTCGTGGAGTGCAGCGCACGGGGCAGTAAGGGAGAGGAGGGAGATGCTGACTTCGAGGGCCTGGAGAAGTGGCTGGCCAAGATTGCCTGAAGGGGAAGGGCAGGGCTGGAGAGAGACACCTGGGGAGGCTGGGGGACAGGACACCTGGGGACTGAAAGGAACAAGATGGTCTGGAGCACTCAGATCTCATCTTGCTGTAGAAAGAAGAAGCTTAAGCTGGAAAGCAACGTGTCTTGCTGCTTGTGGGCTTGGGAGCAACGTGACAGGACTGGTGGTGCCCTTTCCTCTGTCTCTGTTACACTGTAACATCTCTGCTGTCTCAGCCTGGTCTACAGGCTCTGTTGGACAATCATTGAGGAGAGTGTAAGAAGCTGTTGACCTCTGTCTCCTCCCTTCCTGTTCTTCCAAAGTGGTGCCAGTCCCATCTCTGTGGACCTGGACTGGTCTGTTCAATGCCAAACCCAGGCTCACTGCCAGTGTCTTGTTGTGGTGTCCATGGTTACCACTGCTAGATAGTTCTTGAGAGTTTTTCTTTAACTAAGGGCTGTGTCCACCCCACTCTCCCAAGTGGCAGAGTTACAGGAGGGTCTTAGCTTGAAACTCTGAGGTGGGCACATTTGTAGGTCCATACCTACATGGTGGGTGAGATCTGGCATGAGAGGCATCTGCTGTGCAGGCCCCTGCCTGGCTCCTTCAGGAAGATCTTTGATGTGTGATGTGTCAGCAGTTGTGGCAAAGTGAGAGGGAAAGTCAAGGAGCTGTTGGCATGTGAGTGGGGTTCCTCCTGAGGGAGATGTTCATCAGAGAGGGGAAAGAAGCTGAAGATTGTCTGGTTGGTCTGGTTTGTTGTGTTCAAAGCCAAAGCCTCTGCTGTGGATGTTGCAGGGAGGGCTCAGGGAATGGCTGTCACTAGCTGTGGCAGTGGGCTCAGCAGGCTTTGGAGTGTTGGAGGCCTCTGAACCAGCATCCTCCTGAGCTCTCCAGGGGACATCTGCTCTCCTCCTTCCCATGCTCAGGCCAGGAGCATCAGGGAGATGATCCAGTAGCATTGGTGCTGGGCAGATAGGAGCCAAGCCCCTGGTGCTGAGCTGGGTGTTCAGCTTCCCCTTCTGCCCAGCCTTGAAGCACAGCAGCAGTTCCAGAGCCAGAACTGCCCTGCCCAGCAGCTTCCCATGGCTTTGTGCTCCGTGGGGACCTGTTGCTGTGCAGCACCTGGGAGAGGATGGTTGATCTCCATGCTGCACATGGTGAGGTTCTGTGGCATTGGAAGTTGTTTTGTTGCTTCCCTTTTTGTTTCAGGGTAGGAGGGAGCAGCTGGCTCCTGCTAGACCTTTTCTTGTCCTTTGCTGACTCCTCTCCTCTCTGGTTTGATGTTTCCTCAGCTGATCTGGTTTCTTTTCCTGCCTGTCTGCGCCATCCTCTACCTCCCTGTAGCATTGCCAAGTGTTAGGAATGCTGGGAAGACCAGGAACAGTCTTCAACAAAGGCTCATATAATGAAGCTGGGCCTTGCATTTCTAGTCCAGTGAACCCAGTGGCTCTTCTGCTGTCCATGCAGAAGGTGGCAAGGGGTTATATTGACAAAGTATGTTACGTTCTCACCTTTCCTGCAGTTGGCACATGTTTGTCAGGCCTTGAACTCCTTCAGCTGGAGCTCCTTCCTAGGCTGCCTGCTTTGAATCCCTCATGCTGGGGATATTGCTCTTGCTTTGGGTGGTTGTTCTGCTTGCTCTTGGAAAGCAGGGGCCAAGCCCCAGCCTCTGCTGGCTGATGGGGGAAGCTGCTGGTGGGAAGAGCTTTGGGGGGACCAAAAAAGCACCAGAGTTGGAAAAAGTGACCTTTATTTTGTTTTGTTTTTTTAAAAAAAGAGCAGCAAACCCCCCCAAATGTTCTGCATTTACCCCTAAGTGACCACTGGTCACTCAAGACGTGTGTGGTGTCCACACTGACCTCTGTGGGGGGTGCAGGGGAGGGGGGACACAGGGAAATCCCCCCCCAGAGTTGGCAGCCCCTGCTCCTGTCCCAGCCAGGAGGGCCTCACCCAGCTGGAAATGTCACATCAGAGCAGGGACCACTGCCCACAGCAGGTACTTTTCTAGGCGTGTGGCTCCAGCCTCTGCCTGCCTCCTGCTCCAGCTGGTGGGGGCTGCCCCCTCCCCAAAGATAGGGACAGGATGCAGCTGGAGAACCTGGGAGAAGCCAGGCGCAGGATGGGGGTGGGATGGAGCATCCCTTGGGAGCATCCCTCAGGAGTATCCCTCGTGCCAAGAGAGGAGCTGAGGTGAAGTTGCTCCCTCGGGAGGAAAAGCAAACCCCCCCCAAAAAAAGGACTCAAAAAGTACTGGCAGTGGGTTAAGGGGGTGGTGGGTGGAGTCAGTCCTTGGGTGGGCTACACCAGCCCTGCTGCCTTCTCCTGCACGTTGTACTCCTTGCTCCTCTTCACCTTCCAGCTGATGAGGGCCAGGAGGATGGTGCCCACCACCTTGTAGCCCACCTGCAGCCCTAGGTATCTGTCAGGAGATGGAGCAAGGGAGAGAGGCCCGTGGCTGGAGGTGGCATGTCCAGCTGGCACCCCCCCTGGGGGACCCCGTGGTGGTTCCCAGGGGGAGGGGGGGGGGGTGGGACGGGAGGGCAGGGG